AAAAAAAAAAAAAAAAAAACAGATAAAATACTTTTGTTCTAGCCCAGCTCTGTTCACTTACCTTTGATTCCAAACTCTCTATATCCTTCTCCCTCTCTCCCTAGCCCCACTCTCTGGTAGAAAAAAAATTTTTTTTTTTTTTGAGACAGGGTCTCACTCTGTTGCCCAGGCAGGAGTACAGTGGCACGATCTGGGCTCACTGCAATGTCCACCTCCCAGGCTCAAGAGATTCTCCCACCTCAGCCTCCTGAGTAGCTGGAACTACAGATGTGTGCCACTATGCCTGGCTAATTTTTTTTTTGTAGAGATAGGGTTTTGCCATATTGGCTAGCCTGGTCTCAAACTCCTGGGCTCAAGTGATCTGCCCGCCTCAGCCTCTCAAAGCGCCGGGATTACAGGTGTGAGCCACTGTGCCTGGCCTATCTTTTTAAAATGAGAGCATCCCCAGTTACTTAGCCTTCAAACCTCCAGTGAAGAGGTACATTTCCTGTTCTTTCAGTTGCCCGTAGGCCAGGGGCATCTCCTTCAAGCTGTACAAGTCTTGACTTCATTTTGTCAACCTATCTTAGCCACATTAACTGAAATAGTCATTTGAGTTAATCAGTTGCTTTTAAACATATAGGTAAGTAAAGGTGATGTGGTGCTATGATACATACATTGGTTTTCACCCATGGTTCCTGGCTCCTAACTTCCGTAGTCCTTGTTATAATGTTGGGGCACTTTGCGTCTCAGGAAACAGAATCTTTCTCTCTTTGACCTTCTCCTGCCCTCCTTTTACCTGCCCAAGGTAGGACTCTAATCTGATTGTGGGTTAAAAGATCCTCATTCCAGAGAGGATCCTGCCCCATACCCTAGAGCAAACTTTTCCAACCCACAGCCCACAGGCCGCACGTGGCCCAGGATGGCTTTGAATGTGGCCCAATACCAATTTGTAAACTTTCTTAAAACATTATGAGATTTTTTTTGCGACTTTTTTTGTTTTTGTTTTAGCTCATCAGCTATCGTTAGTGTATTTCATGTGTGGCCCAAGACAATTCTTCTTCCTCCAGTGTGACCCAGGGAAACCAAAAGATTGGAAACCTCTGCCCCAGAGAAAGGAATGCTGCACAGAGGCCAAGAAAAGTCTGAACAGACAGGCCTTGCTGGGTTTAGATCATGTGCTTTTCATCCAATCACATTTCTACATGGTTGTCAATCATGTCTCTAACAAAGCTACCATAAAACCCAGGAGGACAGGGTTTGGGAAGCTTCTGGATGGCTGAATACGTGGAGGTTCCTGAAGGGTGGTGTGCCCAGGGAGGGCATGGAAGCTCCACGCCTCTTGCCCCTTACCTCATCCTGTGCATCTCTTCTCTGTATCCTTTGTGGTATCCTCTATAGTTAACTGATAAACATTAACTATTTCCCTGAGTTCTGTGAGCCACACTAGCAAATTAATCGAATCCAAAGAGGGGGTCGTGGGAACCCCAACTTGAAGCTGGTTGGTCAGAAGTTCTGGAGGCCTGGCTTGGCCTGGCAGCTCACGCCAGTAATCCCAGCACTTTGGGAGGCCGAGGCGGGCAGATCACTTGAGGTCAGGGGTTCGAGACCAGCCTGGCCAACATGGCGAAACCCCATCTCTACTAAAAAAATTATAAAAATTAGCCAGGGATGGTGGCGGGCACCTGTAATCCCAGCTACTCAGGAGGCTGAGGTAGGAAAATAGTTTGAATCCGGGAGGCAGAGGTTGCAGTGAGCCGAGATCATGCACTGCACTCCAGTCCAGGTCACGGAGTGAGACTCAGTCTTTAAAAAAAAAAAGTTCTGGAGGTTGGACTGTGACTAGTGCCTGGTTGGGGGCCATTCTGGGGGACCAAGCCCTTAACCTGTGGTGTCCGACATTGTCTGGGTAGACAGTGTCAGAACTGAATCAGAGGACACCTAGTTGGTGTCCATTTATCAGAGTGTGGGGAAAACCCCACACACATTTGGTCACAGAAGTCTTCTTCTGTGTTGAGGGTTGTTGTGGTATGAGAGCAGAGGAAAAACCCAGTTTGACAGAGGGTTTTCTCAAACAGGTGGCATTCACCAATAGACCATCTGCCTCAGTTGTACTGCCTGCCTGCCCACTTCCTCGTTCCTCCCTCTTCTATACCCTGGTCAAGTTGGAGGGGGACCTCAGGAAGGACAGGGGAAACAGAGGAAGTAGAAATTTTTGACTGGGGCTGGGCGCGGTGGCTCACGCCTGTAATCCCAGCACTTTCGGAGGCCAAGGCAGGTGGATCATGAGGTCAGGAGTTCGAGAGCAGCCTGGCCAAAATAGTGATATCCCGTCTCTACTAAAAATACAAAAATTAGCCAGGCATGGTGGTGCGCACCTGTAATCCCAGCTACTCGGGAGGCTGAGGCAGGAGAATCGCTTGAACCTGGGAGGCAGAGGTTGCAGTGAGCCGAGATTGCGCCACTGCACTCCAACTTGGGCGACAGAGCGATACTTCTTCCAAAAAAAAAAGAAATTTTTGACTGGAGGGGCGGTCTGCAGCAAGCTGGAACCACCTAGAAGGTGGAGTTTGAAATGCCCAAAGAAACACCATTCATTCTCCTTGTCCCACTCTTATTCCCCATCCCACTTGGTCACTTCTAGGGCATAGTTAATTCACTACCCATTTATTGAAGATCTACAATGTATCAGACCCTGTGTTAGTCCTCAGCATAGAGCCTAAGGGAGTTCAACACTTCTGATAAGGAAATGACTGGTAGGGGCAAGCAGAGAGGAAACAGGCCCTTAATTCACTGAACGACTTGATGAACTAGGGAGAGGAGCCGTATTTTATATCAGTTTCTTTTATAGAGTCTCAATATCAAATATACACAATTAAAAAGAAGAACCACAGGAAGTCCTTTTTTTCCTCAGACTTCTCCCATTTGATACAGAGATAAGGCCTACAATTGTTCCCCCTAGAATCTTAGAGTCAGGGCAGGCAACCCTGATAATCCGCCAGTGACGTCATCCTGGTCCATGCATCTTAAACTCTTGATTGGCTAGGTAGGGCGGCACTGTTCCCTTTTCTGTTCTTCCTCCCACCCCCACACATACATGTACAGAAGCTTTTTCTAGTGAGACTAGTGAACTGCAGCAACCCCTTCCTTTCAGCCAGCACAGATAAAACACACAGCCTGGATATGTGTAATGAGAACTGCCAATACTTCAACCTAACAGGTTAGCAGCCAGTGCAGCCAAACATAAGCTCATGAAGTGCTTATTCAATAAAGAAATAGTGTTGGTTACGAACAATTTCAGAGTTGCAGGGACCCAAACTAATATTTATTAGACAACATAGACAAGCGGTTGTGAAGTTACAGGGGAGGAGGGGGGGTCTTCTATTTGATACATCTGAAAGCCACCCATTACAATAACCTAGCTCCCAATAGACTACTGAGTGGACTCTTGATCGTAAATCCAACTACGCAGATATTTCTGCTGTGCGATGGTAGACAGAGACCTGAACTAAGGAGCCAGAAGACTTGGCTTCAAGTTCCAGCTCTTCCATTAATCATGTTTGTGGACAAGTCACTTAACCACCCCATTTCCTGAACATTCTGGATGTTTATGTTTTGTTCAAACCCATGATCACAGGCCCCCAGCCAACTGTTTTGCAAATTCATGGTCAGAAAAGAGTAAAAATGAATCAGTATAATGATGAATCAAGAGTATCATGTTGATGCAGGAAGGACGGCATCGTGATTAATCAACCACTTTGCTTTCCAACTATGCCTTGCCATTCAACAACATACTTCCTTTTAGTTTTCAGAAAGAAAATAATCCTGTAGGGAAAAAAAAATTCCTAGCAAACCTAGCCCATGTCAGTCTCTGTTCTCGTTCTCCCACACATCTCCTCCTCTCTGCTCCCATGGTCACCTATTGCCGGTGCCCTCAGCTGCTATGTGGACTAGTGCGACAGGTTCCTAACTGGCCCTGCTGTCTCCACTCTTCCTCCTCTCTAGTCATCTTTGCCACGATGTGACGATCATTTCCATTGAATTGCTTTAATCACAACACGCCTCCCCCCACCCCCCACAAAAACCTCCCATGGCTACCCTTGGATACCAAGTCAAGTCCAAATTCCTTAATCCAACCCTCTAATATCTCATTCCAACCTGCTTTTCTGGTTGGGTTTCCTGTTGTGCTGCTTGCCTTCCCACCTCTGTGCCTTTGCTGACATCAACTGCAGTATCTTTCTCCCCATCTCTGCCCAGCAGACTCCTACTCATTCTCCCAATGCCAAACTGAATTTTTTTTCTCCTCTATGAAGTCTTCACATTTTCTCCTCCTCATTGCTTATCAGAAGGGTACATTTCTAGAGCACATTATTCATGACAATCACATGCTACCTTGTGTATTATGGTCATGGACATATTAGTCTTACTCTTTTATTACTCTGTAAGCTCCTGGGGCACAGGGACCATGCCCCTTCCATCCTGGTATTGTTCTCAGCATTGTGCACACAGTGGGGACTTAATGTAGCCTAACTAAATTAGTGTCAAATGGATGCAGGGAGGCAGCAAGATATAACAGAAAGACTATGAGATTTGGAGTCAGAAGGCCAGGTAGTGGAGCTCAGTTCTGTCACTGATAAGAGGTGTGATCACTCTGAGCCCAAATTCTGCATCTGTAAAACAGGCACAATGCTTCCTGTCCTATGGACCTTACAGGGCAGGAGGCATGAGCTGTAAAAATCTAATGATGTGCATATACTAGGTGGTCAGCAGAAGAGCCACAATACTTAAACCAGCCTTTGAAGTTCTGCCCCCCACTGCTCTGGACATATTTTATCCCATCCAAAGGAAGATTTCCACACTACTTTGTAGAGAAGAGGGTGAAATGGGGGAGAAACTGAGTCATTAAGACTCAGAGGAGAACTGTTTACAGACTGCAGGCCAGATGTTGATGAGGGCAAGCAGGGGTGGGGAGGAAAAAGGGCCTTAACTAAATGTCATGATCCTACCCACGAGTCCCTCTGCAGAGGAAGAGAAGAGAACTCTACTTCCAGGCAGAGGCAAAATGAGTGCTGGCCTAGAGGCCTAGGTGATAAGGATCATTCCATTTGGCTTGTCAGCTGCCAGGTGAGCCTTCCAGCTCTGGCCTCCCAAGTGCGTGACACTGTCAACGCAAAATCCTTTGACTATTAGCCGCCAAGGCTAAACTATGTGGTCAAGACCGACTCTCCCAATTGTGGGCTGTTTGTCTAATTCAGAGCCAAGGCGATGTCAAAGATGCCACTGTGCCCACTGAATGAGGAACACAGGGACCATGCCCCCAATACAGAAATATCTCTGCTTCCTGAAATGCCATCACTACCAATTCATTCTTTTAGGCTTGGTTTCCAGTTCAAATGCAGGTACCCCTGAGCTCGGTGGAAGCTTTAAGGCTGCATTTACACCTTAAGATCTTTTCCTAAGGAGGAGCTGTTGATGTGGCAAAAGGCGGAAAAGGCCGAAAAAATGAGGCCAGTGGGGTGAAGCAGTAGGCTGAAGGGGCCG